GGAACAGTTCCAGCACAGCGCTTGAAATGAGCGCTGTGCTGAAACTGTTCGCGGATTTCGAAATCAGTCTGAACGCAGCCTTAGGCCCCGGGCAGACTTCACGCGATTTGATCGTCGCGACTCAGTCGCCGACATTTCCATTCATTTTCATTTCACATTCAAAAATTTCGGGCTGGAAAAGTATCACAACCGAAATGCAAGTTGATCGGCATGGAATGATGTTGTAACAGTTGTCTTGTCGCGATTCAATCGCGACGATCAAATCGCGTGAAGTCTGTCCGGGGCCTTAGACTAACAGTATGGAACGATTCATCAATCGCTTTTCACTATTGTAAAATTACCGTAGGGGAGTCGGAGAGAGTTTTGAGACATCAAAAGCCGTTTACCCAAGAAAAGAAATCAAGAAGGCCGAACTCTTTACACTAGACTTCAAAAGACACCCACTACATTGCATTCGTAATTCTTTTTTTTTTGACTTATGCCAGGTACACAGTAGAAAATGTTTTTTAGCGCTTTGCAAAAATGTGATTGCACACTAAAAAACTCATGCGTAGTTAAATAGCATAGGTAAAAAGTCTGCTACACAGATTTCGAATCTTTTTTGAGAAATTCTTTTGGATGTCTTATTTCGCAGTCGCTCTTTGCTGAATGTTTCCACCATGAATACACAATAAGAACAACGCGAGATTTGCTTTCGGCTGTATTTGTAAGCTGAAGCCATCCCTACAGGATTTTACCCGAAGATGTGGATACTCTTGGGACACCTCGTATATGTTAAGGATACGAATTTTTGAATATTTGATGCATATCGAGTTTTCGAGTCGTCAATTCTCATCAAATTTTCGAATATTCGGTGCTCATCGAATATGCGAATACTCGATGGACTTCGAATGATCGAATTAATGACCATAGAATATTCGACTATCGAATAATATTCGAAAGTGATTTTCGAGTATTCGACTACTGAATATTACTAGCTGGTTTTCCCGTTTTAGCCCAGGTCACAGCTTCAGCTGATCCTTGCTCTCCCCCCCCCCCGCCTCTCCTTTCCATTTGGCTATTATACTGCGCTGGCTGCAAGGTTCCTCTAAGGTCGCTGTAGGCTCGTCTTGGATCACCGCATCCTTTCTACCGCGAAAATCCAGTGAACTCTATTGCTATTGTTTACACGAAATCATGAAAATGATGTGTACTTAGTGTACTTGAGAGCTCATTCTTATGCCAAAAATCAATATAAATCAATAGAATGGCCCAGTGGATCGCTGCAAAAATTAGCGATAAATCACCTCTGGGGACGAATACATATGTGTGCAAAGTTCCAATTTGATCGGTTCATTGGCGAGTGTTTCCATAACGAACGAACAACTAAACGAACGCACTTACAAAGTTTTGAATTTTATATTTATACTAGCCGCATTTCCCGGTCCAACCCGGGCATTGTCACTGGGGGAGAGGTATATGCTGTTTTAGTTCCGCATAGTACTGAGAAGAGACCCTCTCCACCTTCCTTATGGATGACTTACTTTCGGACATCGCCACTTCGTTTCACCGCATCTTCGAGATCTTGAGACTAAATGAGCTTTACCACCCCATCCCTCCTTTACATAATCATGGGAGAATGCGATTGGAACATGAGAAGCTTGCATTTTTGAGAAATGCGTAAATAAATCAGTAAATCGGTAGAAGAGCCCCATGAAAAGTAGTCCTGAACAACAGCCAACAACAGGGTCGATAATATACGTGTGCGAAGTTGCAGCTCAATTGGTTTAACGGCTGGCGTTTCTATAAAGTACTATCAACTCAACGAACACCCACAGATAGGCTAATCGAGTTTAGAAAAGAACAGGTGCTTTTGCACTTGTGAAAAAAGTACTTCTTTTTGCAATTGGTATGTACAAGATCTTACGATAATTCTGCTCATAACTTCGTCAAAGATGGATTGTTTGTGGTCAGCTTTCATGCTACGGCAGATGCTATGCAGCCAGTCTAAATTTGACCACTTTGACTTCTAATCATTTTCTTCTTATTGTTAGCAACTCGATAAGGCAAAAGATCGATTGAGTGATAGGTTGTACGAAATAGTGGGTTGTTCTCTTATTGAACAGTTGTGCACATCACTAAAACTCTGCATTTTACTGATGAATGAAATTCACTTCAAACTCCATGTTGCTTGTATGCCACACGTAAAGCAAAAGTAACATGTTTTCAGAACATCTTTGTTCCATTTTGATATGTAACCGGCCGTTTATGCGGCTCGCTTTTAACTTTTCAAGCGAAGATAGCTTGATTCTTATAGAAAAAACAAACACTTGACTGCTTTCTTGAAATCTCAAGTCTCCTTGGATGATTTTTTGGCCATACAGATTCCTGAGTGCTTTTTTCGGTAACAATCCAGTGTTCTGAACACTTTAATCTCTTTCGGAGGCTTTAAAATGATTAGTGTCAACACAATATCAAAGGCCCTTAAACGAGTTGAATTTGGACCTCCTTATTCGGTAGTCTACACACTATGCAGAGCTTATATAACAACCGGAAAACCACCGATATACAAGAAGTGCACCGAAAATGAGTGGTCGCGGGGATAGAGAGTCATACGATAGGTACAAATAGAATGTGATCTATGGTTGGCATAACGATATGATAGAAAGGAAGTTGGCAGTGGTTGACAGACACTCGCTTTTGCTGTGTACCGTTGCTGTTAGAATAGAGATCACTTATCACTGTATTTTTTTATCCTCGCATTTGTCCCGCTTAAACAGGGTCTGATTTTCTTTCAGTTGTCTCATCTTTCTATCTGAGGCAAATTCAAGTATCCCAAGTTTTCGCAGGTCGACCTTGTTTTTGTCCACCCACTTCAACTGAATTTGCCCTATATTTTACTCGGTGCCTCCACCGTTGAAGCTAACCTCGTGATGTAGCGGTTTTCCCATGTACATGCCCGTACCACCTTAATCTCTTTTCCTGCATTTCCTAAGCAATCGGAGCTACTTTCATTTTGGATCGTACAATGTCTGCAGATGTGTTCCTTCAATGTCACGCAAACTCTATTACAACATCCTTGTTTCCATGACACTGAGCTTGCGCTCATTCTACAAGGACAGCACTCACTGCCATACAGTGCTGCTGGATGGATAACGGTCCGGTAAAGTTGGGACTTGAGATGCAATGGCATTTTTCGTCGCAGAGAGCACTGTCACACTCTCTTTTCTTCTAGGCTGTGTAGCCTGCGTCCTCATTCTCTAGGCCTCCTTTGAAATTTGACTGCCGAGGTAAAGGCTACCGCATGACGAAAGCGCAATAGCAGTATTAGTTGAGCGGGCGCGAACTCGGCGCGCGTATCTTCACCGTTGTAAATCCTGCGCCTTATGCGCTTTGCGGCTAATAGCCGCGTTCGCGCCCAAATGTATTTCGCCTTCGTCATGCAGCAGCCCTTACTTGTATGACGTTGTCTTCCTGAGATCTTTACCATCGGCACTTATGTTCTGGAGTTTGTTTCTCCATTTCCATGTATTCTGTCTTCCTGGTGGTTTTAAGCCATGCAACTCTAGCCTGTTTTTCCATTTTTGCGCTGAGTCTTGCAGCTCCTTCTGGTACTTGCTCTCAAGACCACATTTGTAGGACATATATCCAAGAAGATTCACGCCTGAGTGGTTTCAACACGGCGTCAAGTGATGAAGAGCAAAGGCGAAAAAATGTTCTTTGGCGTACTCCGGCCTTGATTTGGAACTCTCAGCTGTTTGTACGTGACTTGAAGCGTTTGTATCAATTTTTAATACTCGTACTCTTCTGAGACCATGTGTTTTCGCAAAGTCATTCAGATGACTTCAAGGGGCACCTTATCGAAGGCTTTCTTTAGGGCCAAAAAGGCTGCATGCAACTCCTTCTGCTTCTCCCTTTTCTTTTCCGTCATTATCAGAGTGGATGACAGGGGTTGTACCTACTCCATTCACAAATCCGCACTTATTCGGTAACAACTCTATGATTTCTCAAAGTCGTGTTTCGATTATTTGCTCGAAGATATTTGGAGTGTGGCTTATCAGTCGGATTGATCAGTAGGATGCGCAATCTGCTATGTCTCCTCTGTTGTTCCATATAAAGATCGTTCTGCTGGTATACCAGTCGCGATGCACACTCTTGCTCCCTATGATTTGATTGAGGTTACTTGTTAACCATAACGCTCGGAATTTTCCACACTTTTTTTCCAAAAATTGCTTGGTATGTCATTTAGACTGGCCGCTTTGCCACTTTGTTTTTCTTACAGCTAGCCATGCATTTCCTTCCGTGAATGTTGGTACTGGCCATCTCTTCAAAGTAGGTTTTCCATCTGTTGGTAATATCCTCTAGTTTTCTTAGCGTTGTACCAAGTTTTTCTTTGACATAGAGGAAGTGCTCCATCAGTTTCATATATTTACCGCTGTATGACATAGAAGCATTTCAATCACGGGCATCTCCAAGTTTTACGAAAGTAAAACATGGGATTTACTCAGTTACTTTAGTTTACTTTTACTTAGCTTATAGGATCAAAATAGATCCTGTAAACTAAGCACACTGGTTTACTGGACTTATCGAAGGCGCACCTGTCCGCATGCTTGATTTATGAGCTGACTTTATTTATCTTACTCAAAGCCATAACGATAATGGCAGCGATCAGCTTTGGCTTGGATTGGTAGATTGAATGCAATGCAAAATTGGATTCGCCAACTTTACTGCATTCAATTCATCTGATTTTTATAAAATTAGCAAGAGAACAAAGATTGTAGAAAGGTAATAGAACAGAAGTTCCACTCTGCTTAGCAAGAGAGATGCGATTGTCTAACAAACAATTGATAAGGATATGTTGATTTTTGTAACGCATGACAGGGATTTTCCTTCCCTATTAATCTAACCTATGGAACTTATTGGTACAGGAGCGTTCCTTTTCATGAAGTTGGATCTCGTTATTGGAAAACAGTGAATAATGCTTAAGCAGCAATCATCTTGCAAAGACTATTTTATTGCAGGATCAAATAGCTTATTACGCAGAAACAAAAACTAGAGGAATTATTTACATTTTTCACTTTTGCGAAGCTGGAAAAACACCGTTTTGTAAACTTCCTCGTGTAAGTTTTTATAACATGATATCATCAGAAAAAAGCATTTTGTTATAACAGTCTTTACTGCGGTGATAAATGTCTTTACGAATCCTACCGATCTACTAATGCAGTCTAGATCTACAGCCAAGTCGTTTTGTGTCTGACAGTAAGTGTGCGCCAATGACGATCACACACGTCACACACTCTTCTTATCGCGCGTACCCATCGTGGGTCAGTCGATCTACAGCATGCAAGTTCTTCATATAATATTTTTGCTAATATGTGATAGAATCAAAGGTATCAGCAAGATAGACAGCGACATCCGCGATGGCGCATATGATATGAATAGGTGTATCGCACATATCAAAAAAAACGGAGTCGGCCGTTTAACACATCATTAAAGTGAGATGCGAAATTTTTTTAGCGTTCTTAAGGCAATGAGTCCTTCACCATTTGACCCAAAAGGCCGCATGCATCAACACCCCGCTGTAAAGGGAAACGCAGTTTCAAAGAAGCTTTATATTTCGAAGCTCCAAATCTAAATCTCACGCTGTCTTTCTGTCCTTAATTATTCCTACTATCCATTCACCTGTTGCCTGTATCACCTGTATCCCCGTTGGTCGTCGCTTGACACGAGCGGGATCCAGTGATGCCTCCATTCGTTCCTGTCGCGAGCGATCGTTGACCAATGCTTCTCATCGCATCAGGCACGCTTTGAGGGATTGCTTCAAAGGACTTCCTGATGAACATGTCCGATCATCGAGTCGGCGCTCTTCCTGTTTCGCTTTTGACGTCCAGCGGTGTCCAAACTGTTACAGCTCTGGTCCACCGATTATCGTCAACACGCATCACGTGTCCGTCGCTCACCGCGTTCGTCCCGCTTCCTCATGGTCCACGTTGTCGAAGCGTATGTCAAAGCAGGCAAAACCGTCGTGTTGAAGAGAGGGGCGCAAAACCGGGTGTTCTTGGTCTTCTTCACTACGTCCTCAATTGCTTTGTATGCTCCACATGCTGCTCGTTTCCTCCTGCTCAGTTCCGGGGCTAGATCGTTCATCATACTTCCCGACCTAGGTAGACGTAGCTAGAGCATTCGGCGATCGTCATTCCATTCAGCGTGAAAGGAGCATCAGGAACCCATCCGTTTCTCATGAACATCGTCTTCGTCAGATCCAGCTGCAGAGCTATCTTTCCACACACGTCATCAAACTGAGCCAGCATTCGTTCCACTTGCGTGATGTCCGGTGTAATTAGGACTATGTCACCAGAGAAGCGAAGGTGGCGTAGTTGCCGGCGCCGTCGACTATCACACGCATGCCATCCCACTCTAGTGTCCACATGACGTTTTCGAGAGCAGCGCTGGAAAGTTTCGGCGATATGGTATCGCCCTGTCGTACTCCTCTCTTCATGTCGATAGTGATGTCCTTGTAGAATGGTGTGATCTTGGTTGTGAAGTCGTTGTACAGCTCACAATCATCTTGATGTACTGGGTTGGACTCCCTTGACTGCTCAAGGCATCGATGACAGCCTCAGTCTCTATCGAATCAAGTGTCTTCTTCAAGTCGATGAAGGTGAGACAGAGCGGCATCCTGTACTACTCTTGCGATACTTCGGTGAGCCTTGTTATCGCGTGTATGTGGTCCATAATGCTAAACGCTTTCCAAAACCTAGCTTGCTTGCATGGTTGTCTTTCGTCTACTTTTCTTCCTATCCTGTTAAGAAGTTTTTGTGTAAAGAGTTTTGACTGTAGACAATAAGCAGATAGGGCGATAATTTCCGATGTCGGCAGGTCTCCCTTCTTGTACAGCAACACGGTCTTGCTGGTCTTCCATTCACTTGGAATCGTGCCCTCCGTCAGGTACCGCGTGAAGAGCCTCGCCATAGTTTTGATAAGAACTGGTGAGAGATCCTTAGGTGTTCCAGTTTGATCCTGTCGGGGCGCGGCTGCTGTACGGCTTTTCATTGACATGATAGCATGTCGAACCTCTGAAGGAAGAACTAATGGTGCAACATATCCGTCCTCCTTGAAATGGCATGGTGGTAGGTGGACGTGACTCGCAAAGAGATCCGAGTAAAATTCGTTGATGACTTTCTCCATCGACCTTCGGGAAGATGTCGTGGTTCCATCAGAGCGGTGGAGTGCGGTCATCTTGGTCTTGAAATTGACGATGCTTCGGCGGGCATTGCGTATACTTCTTCCGGCCTCCGCGGCGTCAACCATAGCTTGTGCTCTTCTCTATTTGACATCTTTTTTATCGCTTCTCTGCATTTCTTCGCGACTCAGACGTAAGTTGGTAATTGCCTAAGGCTCGTGCTTGTCCACGTTGGCGTTTAGCTTCTAAGTCTCCGCTGACAGGCGCTTCCTGGTACTTCTTGAGCTCTCAGCTTCAGCACAATCGTGGAGATCTGTATAAATATTATTATCACATTCCTGGACGATATTGTCGATCACGGTATCTCTCCAAAAGTCGGATATGGAAGAAAACAGGTCCCAGTTGATGATAGTCGTGGGACGGTGTTTTCTGGATTTAATGGCTCTTTCTCCATTCCGTGAGAAGTGAACTTGGCACTAAGGGAGGACGGTCCGATCCTGTGTGGAATTTTAGAACAACAGCGACATCGGTCAGGCAATACCTTCCATTGACGATGATGTGATCAATTATGGTTCTCTATGGTCTCTCTCTCTCTCTATGGTACTCTCCACCGGGCGATTTCCAGGCCAGCGCCAGGAAAGGGGGCTTTTGAAACTGCGAGTTTCCATGGACGGTCCTTGTCGACATGATGAACTCGGACAGTCTCTTTCCTTGTTCATTCCACTGTAGTCCATGGGTCCTGATGTGAAGCTCCGCAGGTGACCTTCTTGCTCTGATCTTTGCGTTGAAGTCACCGACGATGACCTTGTAGAAGGTGTGCTCTTCTCTTTAGAACTTCTCCAAGTCCATGTAAAGGCCTCGATTTCGTCTTCGTCCTAGATTGCTGTTGGGGCGTGCGCTATGAAGACCGTCAAAGCTAGCATTGATCGACATCGTGATATTCGTAAACGTCCGATCGTGGTTGTGAGTTGTTCGAGTGAGTCGATGCTCACGGCCAAACTCGTATTGACAAGGACTCCTACACCGCCGACTCCCTTGCTGTCGCGTGTTCCTGAGAACAGTTCTTCTCCAACGTGGCGTTCAGTGGGTGGTGTCTCCTTGTCTCGGTCAGTCCGATGACGTCGTACTTGATCTTTCTTGCGCGTCATGAGGTCTTCGATGGATGCGTCCGATGCGAGCGTCCGTGTGTTGTAAGTACAGATCGTCATCATTGTCCGTCTCGTTTTCGGCAGCCTAGATCGCCCTTCAAACCTTGTCCCCACCGGCGCTCCTTACCAGTGGCTCTTCCAACTTTTCCATTATATCACTGTGTTTAACTATTGATTACTCGCAGGAGCAGCTTGTTGGTCATGTCTTTCTCGAGAGACGGTCGAAGCTAATTTGTTAGAGGCGACTCCGAGCCCGCCTCTCCCACACTTACCCGGGAAATAGATATGCAAGATTTTAATGGAGGCAGGGAGTCTGTTTCCGGGCTTCCGCTTGCTTATCAGAGCAGGAGCGGAGTCGCTTTGATCGGCGGTTAGCCCCTTATCCGCCACCTGGGGACGCCCCACGTTTCCTCGGGACTAACCGGCTGGGATCCTTCTGAGAGGGAGATCCCTGAACTATTCATTACTATAAACATAAAGAGGGAGAAACTGTGCAAACAGCGTTTTTCAGCTTTTTGTACCCCTGATGACTCCAGGCAGCCGACGTCTTATCTGCGAAGTCATTTTTCTTTGTTCAAAGTTGGTCAAAACATATCAAAGTTATACTGAAACAGCAGTGTTAATCATGTTTTCGATAACAACAAATAATGTATCAAAGTCATGAAAATTGCGATGAACCACACGAAATTTGGGGTTTATATCTCAAGATTTTAATGATTCTTGCTCTTAACCTAAAAATGTTTGATACCGTAGACTGGAAATCACTACAACTTACTATTTCCTTGTTTGCAAAGAAAAAAGACTCTAAAGAAAAGAAGGTTGAAATGCGACCTGCACAGCTTCTCACCCCTATTCAATTTTAGGGTGGTAGAATCAGTTGCGTAAGTAGATGGCGAGAAATTTAATTTAAGCCTTCAGAACATGAAGTTTTCTATTAGACTGCGTTCTGCTTCCCAGCGGGATGTTAATGCATGCAGCTCTAAATATCGAACATTTCGAGACTAAAGCCCTATGCATGAATATCCCTACGCGAAGTGGGGGGGGGGGGCGTTCCTTTTATGAAGCGACAGCGGCTCGCCGCTGCTGCTTTTTTTTTACTAAAGGCAGTGTTCGGGCAAAAAGTCGACTTTGTGATTTTATGCTTACCCGAACATGTTCTTGCTATGCCAACCAAAACCCACACTGGAGAGCGCAAAAACGGCGAAAAATGGCTCTAACGCAGGAGGGTAATTGGTAGGTGGGCGAGGTCTTCCCCACGACGAATTCACGCTCACATCTTCCAAGGCGGTCTTCTCCTTTCCGCTGGCCGCCCTGACATCGCCAACGGCCAAGTGCGAACACGTTACTTGAATTCGGCGGGGAAGTCCCCGCCCACTTTTTGATATCCCTCCTGCGTTAGAGCCCTTTTCCGTTTTTGAGCTCTCGTTTTCGATTCAGCCTAGCGAATAGGCCCATGTAAGCACAACATCTCGGAATCGACTTTAGCCCAAACACTGCTTTCAAAGACACCACTTTCTATTGCGTAGGTGTGTTCATGCATAGAGGTCTCAATATCAATATATACGATATTTAGGGTCTATGCACTAACATGCCCGCTGGAGAGGGAAACGCAGCTAAGTAGGAAGCTTTATATTCTGAAGCTTTCGACATTCAAATTTCTCGCCTTCTACCCATACACAAGTGTGACTTCTACCTCACAAACATATTGAACAAGAGCGAAAATGTGTACAAGCCGCATTTTCTACTATTTTGTATGATTCTCTGATGATCCCGGCTACCAGCCGTTTTTTTCTCAAGATCATTTTTCTTTCTTTAAAGTTGACGATAACACTCCAATTTTTACTAATTATCTAACTCGATAGTGTTGAGTACATACATGTTGCTAACAAGAACAAATGAGTTGATGGATTATTAGATTTTTGATGA